TATTCCGGAGTCCGAATGACTTTATATGAATACATACGCGAAGAACTGTTGGGTAAGAATCCGGACGGAACTATACCGGTGTGGAAAGCGATCATCGGCGGTATGGCCGCCGGTATGACCGCCCAATTCCTGGCCAGTCCGGCCGATCTCATCAAAGTACAGGTCCAGATGGAGGGCAAACGGCGGCTTCAGGGGTTGGAGCCACGGGTGCACAACGCGAGGCACGCCTTCTTCAAGATTGCCAAAGAGGGCGGCGTTCGGGGCCTTTGGAAGGGATGGGCGCCGAACGTACAGCGGGCGGCGTTTGTCAATTTGGGTGATCTCACCACTTATGACACCGCGAAGCACCTCATCTTAAAGCACTCCAACCTTCAGGACAACTTAATCACTCACGCCCTGTCCAGGTATTTGTGGAACCGTTTGAACGCCATATTAATAGATAACTATTGTCGTTGTTGTTGTTGTCAGTGTCTGTTCCGGATTTATCGCTGCCATTCTGGGAACGCCGGCCGATGTGGTCAAAACTCGTGTCATGAATCAGCCGACAGACGCCAACGGACGCGGAATTCTCTACAAATCGTCGACTGACTGTCTATTACAAGCGGTCAGAGGAGAGGGCTTTTTCTCCCTATACAAGGGTTTCATCCCGTGTTGGATCAGGTAATTGTCACATGAATTGATCCGAAAGTGTATACCATTAACGAACGCGTGTTATATTGTGTCCATAGGATGGGTCCGTGGAGTCTAGTGTTTTGGATCACATACGAAGAGATGCGCAAGTTTTCGGGCGTCACCTCATTCTAGACGTGTTGGGGGACAGGGGTTGAGGAATGGGTGGACACACGATATCTCCTAATCTTATAGTCGATATCTATTTTGTTATTGTATGACATCTCCTATTAAATGACATAATATGTGATAAGTTGTTAAGCCATAACTCATATGTAAAGAGTGTTGTTATAAACCTCTCTTAATTTGTCACTACTTTTTAGAGCTAATTATTACACATTTTTTTGTTTATTTAATGAAAAAAGTAATAATAATAATGAAATTTAAAAAAAAACAATTGATTTATTGTGAAATCGATTTAACTGTTTAGACGTTCAAAATAATTGTTTGAATTTATAGAGCAATTGATTTATATTTTAATAGTTTATTAATAAAATTACAAAACATTTTGTTTAAACACTGATTTAATGGCACATTCATTGGTTATATGAAAAATATAAAATGACCTAAAATAGTGGCATTTGTCCGTACGATGTATACAGTAATATAATTTAATCTTGATTAAATTCAACAAAGAATATTCCACACAGGTAAATTACATTTGCAATCGTACCATGGTCAATTAAATTCTATATTTACATTTGTTTACGTTATTTATGCCTTTAAAATATAGCAAACTTTATTTGAATGCAAAACAACACCAAAACACGTGTTGTTTGTTATGAAATGTGTTGAATATTTTTGATGTATTTTTTAAATTCAATTCACATTTGATTTACGGAAACAATGGATAAACCGATACTTAAACAGAGGTTTGGATTGGATTTGGATTTTAATCATTCATTAATTGTTTGCTAATTATTTGCAAAACATTTTCTTTTTGGTCAATAGTTTTGCCATTAAATCAAAGATTGAATCCTTTTTTACCGGTAATAAAATTCAGGTAATATTTTTCGCAGCCATTATCTGTGGATTAGTTTAATTGTCACTCCATTTGATCCGCAGATCAGTTCCGATGGACAGCACTTATTCACCGCGTGTTTCGATGTGTTGAAGATATTGGATGTGAGCGATGGCCGAGCGGTCAACGAAATCAAATCAGAGGTCTGTTTGTCTTTGCGGTGATAAATGTCACCACAATTTGTCTTTGATTTCTCGGATCTAATGACACGATTACTATACTATGACCACAGAGTGAGGACACTATCATTGTGTTTGGTCTGAGCGCTGACTCCAATACACTAGTGATTGGCTATCAAAGCGGTCTTTTGAGACAATGGTTATGGCGTCCCGACCGGCGGCTGATCCGCACGTGGAAGTCGATACACTCGGGACCAGTTGTGGCCATTGTGTGCGACCCGACCGGCGGTCTGGTGGCCACCGGCGGCACCGACTCGACCATCAAAGTGTGGCATTCGGCTCAGAACTACTGTACGCACAATCTTCGTGGCGCTCAGGGAGTGATCAGTTGTGTCCACTTCTCGCCCGTCCGGTCGGACGAGAGTTATTATATTTACGGCGCGGCCGACGACTATAGTGTCCACGTTTGGGATCTGATGACAAGTCGTCACGTGACTAAAATGGACGGCCACTGCAGTAAAGTGACGGCAATTAGGTTTAGTTTAGACGATGAGTACATCCTTACGGCCAGTCGTGACAAACTTGTCATCGTATGGAAGACATCAGACCATCAAATGTTACGATCGATACCTATATATGAAGTAATGATTGATATTTTGGTCGTTATTTGAATGAATTGTTAAAATTATTGTTCATTTCATACCTAGTCTTTGGAATCCATTGAAGTGATTGACGGGCGAAGAATGTCAGCCATTAATCCATTACAAGCGGACAAAGTGTTTGTGACGGCCGGCGAAAAGGGAGTGCTTCGGGTCTGGAACTACGGGACGGGAGACCTCTTATATACACAACAAAACTCATTACTCGCTGTTAAACAAGAATCTGATGAACCAAACAGTGAGAGTGTAATCAATAGTCAGTTAATAACGCAAACACTGTATTGCGAGGCCATTGAACAGATTGTCATCGTTTCGTATGAAAACAATATATTATTTCATAAATCAAGCGACTTATCGGCAGTCAAACAGGTCAGTGCTCTCTCTCTCTCTCTCTCTCTCTCTCTCTCTCTCTCTCTGAGAGTAAACCATTGTTTATTATCTATAGTTTGTCGGACATATGGACGAAGTGTTAGACATCGCTCTATTGGGCGCCAATGAGACCCACATCGCGATCGCCACAAACAGCCCTAATATCAAGATTTTTGAGTTAAAAACATTAAACTGTTATCTATTGAAAGGACACACAGATATCGTGCTATCGCTGGAGACATACCCATCAGACCCGCTGACACTCGTCAGCTCATCCAAAGACAACGTGATCAGAGTGTGGAAGTTTGACGAGACATTATCGTCGGCCGTTTGCCAGTACTACGGCTCCGGTCACACGCATTCGGTCACTGCCATAGCTGTGCCGTATCTCAAGAACCAATTCATTGTCAGCGGCAGCGAAGACACCACTTTGAAGATATGGAAGATTCCCAAGAAATTGCCCGACGATTGCGGCGATAATAAAGCGATCGCTTTGTCCGCCAAACATACACAACGAGCCCACGAAAAGGTGATCAATGCGGTGGCGTTGTCACCGAACGACCAGTTGATTGCCAGCGGTTCTCAAGACAAGACAGCGAAGATATGGGCGACCGATGGCCTGAGACTATTGGGCACAATGCGCGGTCACCGCAAGAGTATTTGGTGCGTAAAGTTCTCACCCGTGGATCAAGTGTTGGCCACGTCGTCAGCGGACGCCACTATCAAGATCTGGGCTCTCGTGGACTACAGTTGTCTGAAGACATTTGAGGGACACGACACGTCCGTATTGAAGGTACTGTTCATCGATCGCGGAATGCAAATGATCTCCAGCGGCAGCGACGGTAACGTCAAGATCTGGAACATCAAAGACAACGAATGCGTGAAGACATTGGACGCTCACGCGGACAAAGTGTGGGCACTGGCGCTAACGCAACAGCAATCAGCCAATGGCCGCACTCTCTTGATCACCGGGAGCTCCGATTCGGCGGTCTTTATCTGGGAGGACGTGACCGCCGATGAACGCGAAGAGACGGCCGCCAAACACGAGCTACAGATAGAAAGCGAACAAAATTTGTTGAATTATATCCAGAAGAAGAAGTGGTCGAAAGCGCTGACCATTGCTGTACGACTGGATCAGCCGTACCGCGCCTTAAGCATAATGAAAGAGATTCTACTCGACTCTGAAGGAGCCGACAAAGTGGCCGAAGTGTTGTCCCGTTTACGCGAAGATCAGTTGCTGTCGCTGTTGGAGTACGCGATCGTATGGAACACTAATAGTAGGCATTATATCGTCGCTCAGTGTGTCCTCCGAGCGGTTGTCCGCCAAATACCGCCCAAAGAACTGCTGAAAACACCGGAACTGAAGGCCAAAGTGGAGAAACTATTGCCGTACAGCGAGAGACACATGAGTCGCTTGACTCGTCTCCAACAGTCCGTCACTTTTGTGGACTATATTTGGGAGAGAATTAAATTACCGGAAATGA